CCCACAGAAACTGGGAGATGGGGTGCTGTCTACTCTCCCACAGAAACTGGGAGATGGGGTGCTGTCTACTGACCCACTGAAACTGGGAGATGGGGTGCTATCTACTCACCCACAGGAACTGGGAGATGGGGTGCTATCTACTCACCCATAGAAACTGGGAGATGGGGTGCTATCTACTGACCCACAGAAACTGGGAGATGGGGTGCTGTCTACTCTCCCACAGACACTGGGAGATGGTGCTATTTACCTTGACTTTTACATTTTAAAGAGTGTCTCAGAATTCCTTGAGAAAGACTTTTCTGAGTCATACAGCAGACAACTGGCTTACCTAATTTTCAAAAGAACTTATAGGTATAAATTTCAAAGAGAGGAGACAGAACTTACATTAAAAATTCAAATTTTCTAGAATAAATGTTCTAAGAAAAAGGATCAGAGGGAAATCTCTTTCCTTATAATCAACAAGAAGAATTATACCCCTTTTTAAAATTTGTATTTGTCTGTATACTAGTAATGTTTATTTAAACAACTCACAAATTAGAGTGATAATTTTTTAAGTTTAGATCAAGAATTTTGATAGGTTTAGCTGGGTGTCCTGGTGCACACCTATAGTCCTAGCTACCTGGGAGACTGAGGCAGGAGGATTACTTAAGCCCAGGAGTTTGAGACTGCAGTGAGCTGTGATCATGTCATTGTAGCCCAAGTGGACAAAATGAAACTTTGTCTGTTAGGAAATTTTTTTTTTTTTGGTAGGAATTTTGTTGCTGAATCTTTGATGCTTTAATTAGGTAAAAATTAGGTTTTTATAGTCATTTAATATCTGTCATCAAGGAACTTGATGGAGTATGATGAATTGATCACAGATCATCAATTTGCGATACATCTTTCTGTTGGGCCAATAGCTCTATTTCTGTATGTAGGAATGTCAATATTTTTATTGAACTAATTTGACCTTTCTCTCCTCTGATTCTTATAAAAATATATGAATTTCTCATGTTCCTGGGTTTTTTATTCACATATATTGTTGAATAGAAAATTGCTCTAATTGAGAAAGTTATTGGGAGATTAGTTCCTTTATTTTTCTGTAGTATTAAGTGAATGAAGCTTGTGTAGCTTCTAAGTATCTTCCAAATATATTTTAAAATAATAGTAGTTGGATTTCACTTTTTATATGCTTCTTAGCTTTAAATAACTCATCTGTTCACATCTTCAGGGTGCAAGCTTGACATTTTTGAGTTCTGGTAATCCCAGCCTTCCAGAAAGCATTAAAGCAAACACATTACTTATACTCCGGATCACAAATATTGATCAAACAGCTTTGTATTCTTTCAAGTAAGTCAAGTATACATTTGACATTTTGAAAGTAAATAAAAACATTAATTTTTATTATCTTAAAATAAAATTCTGTTACAAAGCATTTAGATTTTAGTTAAGGTTTAAAAATCTTTAAAAGTGTAATTTTTTTTTTAAACGAAGCATATGTATATGTGCCTGTTTTATGTGCTGTATTTTACTTAAATATGCTCCATGTGTGGGAACAGTTATTCTCAGTTAAAGATTTTAAAACTCTCATTTTTTGTTAAAGACAATCTCATTAATTTGCCTTTGCTGTAAGATTTTTGTTTTACTACATAATATCAAAGTAATTTTAAAAGATAGGATATTGGTACAATATTACAGCAATTTTCCCCATACTGTTATTGTAATGCATTTTTTAGCATTAAAAAAATTCTTGAGCCCCATGTTTATAGTATTCATTGATAAAATGCATAGTGAAAAAATAATGTTATGAATCAGAAAGTGCTTTTAAATGAATTTTTAAAATCATAGCAATATATTTTTGTGAAATAATATACATATTAGAGGTCATATTACATAAATTGGGTGTAAGGAGGTTTGTATTTCTTTGTTATTTACCATAATGCTGAAATTGAATGTATTTGGTGGGCATTGGCGGCGGGGGGGGGCGATTTTTTAAAATAGCATTTTACATTTTATGCGTTACAAGGTAAAACTTCTTTTAAATTTAATAGTTTTATTAAGTATTTAAAAGAACATTCAAACAGCTACAGAAATGAATATGTTTATAGGTAGTTCTTGTAAGATTTTAAGGATTTTAGCTCTTGATTTGATACTTTGGGTACCAAATTAGCTTAATTAAATTCTAAGCAGGCTTCCAACTTTGAGTTTCCTTAAGACTGGAGTAAAGGAGAAGTGAATGTTTCCACATTCAGAATTGTAAAATAATATATATTTTTATCACAGTGAGCATGTCAGTTGCAGAACTGCTTCTGTAGAACAGGAAGAAGCCAACGATAGGCTGGTCATCAAAGCCATTCAAGGTATGTGTCACGTGGTTTGAATTTTAAACTATTTCTTTCTTTTTTTTTTGTAATCAGTAAGAAAGTATTTTCCAGATATTCCTCAGTGGCACTTTCTATTTGCTTGTTTTAAAAATATTTTTAAACTATTTCATTTATTGATTGATTTTATTTATTATAACTAGTATTATGTGAATTATGAACTTAAGGTTTTTAGACATTACTAGGTAACACTAATATTACCTAGTAATGAACTGTATAAAATATAAAAGTGATTTTTGTAATGTAATTCTTGTCTTATGACACAAGTATTCTAAAGAGATTTCTATAGCCTGGTATAAAGTTAAAAATGCTGGACCTGGGGACAGATTTGTGTGTGGACTCTGCTATTCAACAGACATGTGACTTTAGAGAAATACCTCACACCTCTTTCTTCACCTCTAAAATGGGAATAATAATTCCTCTTTAATTTACTTTCCAGGGTTGTTGTAGGTAATAAATGAGATATATGTTGGCTTTGCAGGGTAAAACATTTTACAAATGTCGTTTCTAGAGTCCAGTTTTATAAACCCTGCAGTATACATAGCTCTGATTCCTTTCTTAGACCTCCTAGTCTAGAAGGGAGAAAGTGATTCTTGTGTATTACTTGTGTGACAAGTAATCACAGTAATTAACATGAAATTTATGAATTTTGATGAATTCTTATTTCTCGTACAAAGATAAGGGAAATCATAGTAAGAAGGCCAGAAACAGATTTGAGGGTTGTGTTTAAACGCTCAAATATTCTCGATGTCATTGTTGCTGCACAGTCTTCCGTCATGGTTAATCCAGGGACGTTTGTTCTTTTCTTTAATGTGTTATAGCTAATAACTTCTTTAGTGACTTTTCCAGTTTGCTTATTTTCTTAAGTAAATATGGCACAAACTACATTAAGTGAAATAACAGTGAAGAATGCTAGGGACGTAAGCATTTAACCTCTTAGGAGTTTCTAGAAGGAGGATTTACTTTAAATAAGTATAGGATAACATTCCAAAGCCTTGCTGCTATTTAACATACAAGTTACAATTTGAAGATTTCAAACTACTTAAACAAATGCTGAACTGATAATTTTTGAGTGACTTGCCTGGTATCAGTTTGGGAGTTCAGTTGATAACTACACAGACAGGGAAAAGAGTTTAACCATGTGGGAGTGATTAAAGAAGAAATTAGACAAGAAAAACTGAGATTTCATTTGAAATGGTTATGGTATTTTCTTGCTTATAAAGTGAAACATTATTTGCCTATGTTTAAAATATAAGACTTTCACCACACAGTGGTGCTATAGTTCCGGTATGTTTTATATGTAATTTTATATTTAATCTTCTTTACTAAAAACATTCTATTTTCCAAAGTCTTTTGTCAGTCATACACAAGGTTTAGTTGAATTTTTATACCCTTATCATAGTTACATCAACTTTAATTTTCCTACAAAAGAGAAAGCTGTAGCATTGTGCATTTGTGCACACGAGCAGTTCACCTGCATTTTTCTCTTTGTTGAGCAGATGTGCTAAAAGAAAAACTACAGAAAAGAGGAGTTCGAATTTTGACTGGATTGGGAAAATACTTTAAACAATTGGATAAGGAAGGAAATGGACTTTTAGATAAGGCAGATTTTCAGCAAGCTCTAAAAGTATTTCACTTAGAAGTGTCTGAAAAGGTACGTATCACAGAAAATTCTCTGTAGCAAATAACATTATTTTTGGGTGACATTATTCACTTTTCTATGAAAAAGTTTAGTAGTTCATTTGCTTCCTCCCTTATGCCCTGTTATCAGTATTAACCCATCAGGCAATATGTTTTGTTGATTTCAAAAATTTTGAAATTCCTCTGTTATGTATTTATTATATTAATATTTCAAAATTCCCCTATCACATAGTTATAATATATTAATAACTAGGCATGTGTTAAGCTCTGAGACAACATACTCTGTGTGCTCAAGATCTTCAGAATTGAAGGCAAATGAATATAAAATAAAATATCTGTGAAATAGAGAATATTTTTCAAGTACAAGGGATAGCTACCTAATTCTAAGCCAGGTTATGGGGAAGGAGAGGGAAGATTGTGGAAGGATCCCTGGAGGAAGTGCAATCAAGATGATTTGTGAAGGAATTAGCCGCACAAAAGGTGAGGACCAGGAGGAGCAGACAATGGGGATTTCATGGAAAGGGGAAGAACATGTGAAGGCTTAGAGATAAAAAGGAGCGCAGCCTGTTCCCAGAACTGCAAATGGCTAATCCATAACCTGGGTGAGCAAATCTGTTTTCTGTCTATATTACTCCCAACTTTACATGATTTTAAAGGTGAAACTCAGGTGGGTGCTATGGCTCATGCCTGTAATCCAAGTACTCTGGAAGGCCAAGGCAGGTGGATCACTTGACTTTGGGAGTTCAAGACCAGCCTGAGCAAGAGTGAGATCCTCCCATCTCTGAAAAAAAAAAAAAAATAGCCGGGTATTGTTGCAGGGTATTGTATCTGCAGTCCCAGCTACTCAGGAGGGTGAGGTATGAGGATTGCTTGAGCCCAAGAGTTTGAGGTTGCTGTGAACTATGATACCATGGCGCTCTACCAAGGATGACAAAGTAAAACTCTGTCTCAAAAAAAAAAAAAAGAAAACTGAAACTCATCTTCACTTCAACTGTGCAGAGCCTTATATTTTACCCACTGCATTATCATAGAAAATAATGCATGGGTTGTTGAGAACTGAGGGAAGGCAGGGCATCTTGAGATTTTGTTTTTCTAATTCAAGTTTTATTTTAAAAAAAATTAGAGGGATCTGGAAGAGAATGTTTTTTGAAAACTCATTTGTCAAGTACTTTGCTGGGCATTTTATTTACAGTCTCATTAATGCTAACAGCTTGACTGCACATTGGAAATGTATTTATCCAGGGTTGAGAAAACGTGTGCCGTCATTTCTTTGTTGTCAGCAACATTGAGGACCAGAACAGGACTTTCTATTAAATAGTTCAGTTGGCAAAAAAGGTAAAGCGATGAAAATGGCATACGGGATCTATTCAAAATTATGTCTTTCAGTGTAAATTACGGAATAAGAATAGAGTCATTTGAACTATACTTTTAAGCATTAAATTAGCAGAAATAGAATGAGTGGTCATAGTGCTACAAAAGGCATTACAGAATTTGAAATGACTCTTGAATTAGCACAATAAATTAAAAATAATTAAATATTCAAAACTGAGTAAATGGTAAACACACACACACAGGATGCCAAAAATGCATACACATTTTAAGAAAGGATGAAAGTATATTAAAAATGTAATACTCAGTATGCACCA